CGGCTTCCAGCCAAACAAAAGACAGGCATGAGTTGAACATGTACCTGAGGTAGATACACTCCTTGGAAAAAACAATCATAGGAGAAAGAAGGGCTGTTTATACAAAGAAAGATAACTCAGGGGTCAGGGGTGTACAGAGGGATGGACACAGGGAAGAGGTAACTATGGGAAGGAAGTGGGAGGGGAGCTGTTGCATTGGGGTAAATTGTAGTCAACGTCATGAGACAAAGTATATGTGAACTGCCATATGGAATGTGAATTTGCTCTGTAAACTTCCACCCAAATCACAATTAAAAAAGAAAAAAAATCCCCTAGTTAGAAATGTATATGCAAAAAACTCTAAGATTTTAAAACTCACTAAGCATTTTCATCATTTTCCTCAGCTTGGATAGTCATAAACGGAATTTGACAAACTGTCCATAATTAGAGTTTGCCTTTTATTTTTCTCTTAACCCAGATGAGTCTTTATTGCGTTTCAAAAATTTTGTGTGTGAGAAGGACAAATATTTTATTAGTTCATTATTGTAAAATGTCAAGGAAAGGTTTATATATGGAAGGAAATGTTCTTTGTTGGTTACCAGGGGTAGGAAGGGAGGGGAGGGAACACTGAAAAAATAAAAATAAGTAAATAAATTCTGTGTGTGTGTATGTGTGTGTGTGTAGGTATGGGGAAGATACAAACCATTCTTATTTGTAAATAGTGTATTAGGCCTTAAGGAGCTCTGGTGGTACAGTGATTAAGTGCCTGGCTACTAACAGAAAGGCTGGCAGTTGAACCCACCAGCTGCTCTGCAGGAGAGAGATGTGAAAGAGTACAGCCATGGAAACTCTACAGGGCAGTTCTACTCTGTTCTATAGGGTCACTGTAAGTCGGATTTGACTTGACGTTAATTTTGCTTTTTTTTTAATGTTACCTCTTCCTTTTTTTCCTGAATTATACTTTCTGAGGTCTTGAATAGGTAATACTACCTTTATTGTGACTGTGTTAATGTTATGTGTCAACTTGGCTAGGCTGTGATTCTCAGTGGTTTGGCAGACTATGTAATCATCTTCCATTGTGTGATCTGATATGAACAGCCAATTAGTTGAAAGGGGAATTTCCTTGGGGATGTGGCCTGCCTCCAGTATATAAATGGACATATTAGCAAAGCTTTTTCTTGACGCTGTACTCTTCTCATTGCCTGACCTCTTGTTCTTGGAAAGTAAGCCTGCAGAAATCTCTGGCCTGTGCCTGACTTGCAGATTTAAGATTCACCAACCCTGCAACCCTATGAGCCACCAGAGGTGATATCTGACCTGATATGTGACCCACAATTGCACAATTCAATTTCCTTGAAGTAAATTTCTCCCTATATGTATTTATATACACTTCATTGGTTTTGTTCCCCTAGAAAACTCAGACTAAGACAGGGATTAAATCTTTCTTTTTTCCTCTCAAAACTTTATTTCAATCCCATCCTATCACCCTTTGAATCAATGAGAATCATTTCAACAGAACAATGATGGTCACTCCTAGTTTCTGGTGTTGTAAGTTGTTTCTTAGATATTTTATCAGAAGATACTGTATCAGGGTTGCTAACTAGAAACAATTTATTTCTTCTTAAGATCCAACTCAAGATGCAAAGCATGTGTGCAAACTATGCTACTCATGTGACTGGTGGAGGACCTCTGGTGGTGCAGCGGTTAAGGCATCTGGCTGCTAACCAGAAGATCAGCAGTTCAAACCCATCAGCTGCTCTGCAGGAGGAAGACAAGGCAATCTACTTCTGTAAAGATTTACTGCCTTGGAAACCCTATGGGTTGCTATTAGTGAGAATCAACTCAATGGCACTGGGTTTTTCTTTTTCTTTTTTTTAAAAAAAAAAAACAGGATTGGTGGTGATGGGTGAAAACTGTATAGTTTACCTTGAGGAAACAAAGTAATGTACAGGCAGAACTGACATGAGTCAGATCCGAGTCTTAAACTCTGCTGCTCAGCCAAATGAGGAACAAAGAAGGCTTCTCTAGAACAGTCAATTCCAACTCGAATATCACATAAACCAAAAAAAAAAAGAAAACCAAACTCACTGCCGTCAAGTCGATTCTGACTCATAGTGACCCCTCCTCGGGTTTCCAAGCAATATCTCTATAGAAGTAGATTGCCCAGTCTTCCTTCCGAGGAGTGGCTGGTTAGCAGTCAAATGCCTTAGGCACTACGCCACCAGAACTCCTCAAATATCACATAGCAACTTCAAAATAAGGTTGCCAAGCTAGCATTACCTGTGAATATTAGGGTTGGGGGAGTTTCAGCAAATACCTGTTTACCTGCTCAGGCCTTCTCAGAGCCTGGTTTTTATAACAATCTTTGAAGTTGCCAAGGATAAACCTGTCATCACTTTCCTAGTTCTCTGAAACAAGTTACTACAATTTTTAAAGCCTCTCAGCTCAACTGTCTTTCTTTAGCTGCATATTTTTTTTTCTTTTTTGCATGTTCTAGTTTTCCAGTACTTTTCCATACATTCTGCCTGAGTAAGCTAAATGCCTGCATACACCCACAGCTCAGATACTGGTCCTAATAGTCCCAGTGCAACCCTGCTCAGTGGGACAAGGGGGATGTCATTGAGTATTATCAAAGCTAGTACAAACTGTTTATGCTTTTCACAATCTGTTTTTTATTTAAAGGATGGATAAAGGCAGAGGGGAACAGGTAGGTTAATACAAAAGCCAAACACAGCCTGAGATCCAGGGGAAGCCTAGATTGGTTTAGACTCTGGGAAACTCCTAGAGTGGCTTACAATTGCCTAGAGAAACTCAATTAACAAATGTACCCAACATGAGCTGAGAGTAAGGCCTCTCTGCAGCAGTTATCCTATAACATGAATTGTACATAGAGGCATAGCGTAACGCAATGCACTGCTGTCAAGGTGGATCCGACTCAGTGACCCCTCCTTGGGTTTCCAAGGTGGTATCGCTACAGAAGTAGATTGCCCATCCTTCCTTCTGAGGAGTGGCTGGTTGGTTTGAACCACTTGCCTTCTGGTTAACAGTCAAATGCCTTAGGCACTATGCTACCAGAGCTCCTAGAGGCATATCATAGTGGGGTACCTAATAATCTATTTAGTTAAATCTGGGCTCATCACGTGAGGATTTTCAGCTATCAACGGATTAGTCTGACATTTGCGTCCTTTTCTAATCAGCATCCTCTTCTAATCAGCGTGACAGAAAAATATCAATTATCTTCCTTCAAAGTACTGTCACTGCCATCTCTTACCAACTGAAGATGTTTCTTGCTGATCCCAGATCAGGCCTTGTTCTGGTTACCTAGTACTGCTCTGACAAGAATATACCACAAATGGGATGGCCTTAACAAACAGGAGTTTATTCTTTTACAGTTCAGGAGGCTTTAAGTCCAAGTTCAAATTGCCAGGCTCTAGGGGCTGGGTGAAAGTCCCTCAACCTCGGGGTCCAGCTTTTCCTCCTGTTCCTGGCCCACTGGAGCTAGAGGCGTTTCTTCACTCAGACAGCTGCTGGCTGCTGAGGCTGCCAAGTCCAAGGTTGACAAGTAAAAAGGCACAGTCCCGACATTACCAAACCACATGGCAGGCTATTAATTTAAGTCCATTGTAAGTCCCAAGGTCGGCAGAGCATGGCAGGATGCTGAACAACAACATGGCTACATGCAGGGTCCAAGCGTGCCATAAGCTCGAGACTATTCCCAAGGCTTCTCCTTATATACAGGAAGCAGACCACATCCCAAAGACAGCTACTCAGCTGCTTGTGGTAGATCACACCAAGGAGCTGATTGCCAGTCTCATCATGGGGAATAACTACCACCAGCTGTCCAGCCACCAACCAGGCCCAGTCAAGTTGACACACAAACGTAACCACCACAGGCCTCTATGTATTTTTTTTTTTTAATTTTTATTGTGATTTGGGTGAAAGTTTACAGAGCACACTCATTTTCCATACAGCAGTTCATACACACTTTGTCTCATGATATTGACTGCAATTCCCCACAATGTAACAGCTCTCTTCCCACTTCTTCCCTATAGTTACCTCTTCCCTGAGTCCTTCCATCCCATGCACTCCCACCTCCCGAGCTATCTGTGCAAACACTGCCCTTATATTCTCCCATGATTGATTATTCAAAGTAGTATATCTACCTGATGTAAATGTTCACTCCATATATCTGTCTACTGTTTGGCTGGAAGCCACATGAGTGAGTTCAATTCCAGACCTGAATGAAGGGCAGCTAGGGACCATAGCCTCAGGGGTCTCACAGGCTCTATCAGACCAGCAAACCTGTTTTTTTTTTTATGATTTTGAATTTTGTTCCACATTGTTCTCCCATTCTATCCAGGATCTCCTATGTAGATCCCCCTCTAAATGGTTGACAGTGGTAGCCAGGCACCATCTAATTCTTCTGGTCTTATAGTCGTATAGGCTGAGGATCGCATGGTGTACCAGTTTCTTGGACTAACTGTTTCCACGTATCTTGGTTTTCTTCATTCTTCTTTGCTCTGGATGAGGAGAGACCCATTGCTGCATCTAGATGGCCATTTGCAAGCTTTTAAGATCCCAGTTGCTAGTCACCAAAGTAGGAGGTAGAACAATGTTTTTGTATAGTATGTTATGCCAATTGAGCTTGATGCCCCCTGCAACAAGGATCCCAAGCCCATAGGACCAATTAACTACTCACTCCCTCTGGATAGTTGGCTATAGCCAAGAAGCCACCACAAACTTGCCCCTTGTCAGCTCTACTATACACTTGTACATTCTTATAACACATACAAATACACATGTAGAAACATTGTCTGCTAACCCTATACATGGTCATGGGCACACTACGCCCTGCCTAGACATACAAATCATTCAGCCTGTCCACTCATCTATCTACCCATCAATGTATTTTTTAAATTATTCTAAAGCCAGTACACCTACATTTTTCTTAATGGGCTGACAAGTCAAGTATTACAGCTATTGAGTTACATGAATTCTTTAACTTCCATATCTTTCTCTACCTGTCTGTTGAAATCCTCTTCATTCTCCATCCACATGTACTCTGCAAATGGGTTTTCCTTTTCATCATGCCCATTTATCCCCTGGTCTTCTTTGGATTTTACACTGGGTGATGTATTGGCCACATTGGATCCATTCATTATGACAGAACCTAAACAGGAACAAAAGAAAGGATAAAATGAATACAAGGATCAAAGAAACATAAACCTATAACATCCAGTTTCTTCCAGAAGCTTCTTAAGTTCCAAGTCAAAGATTTCAACTATAGATGAACAGAAACTACTCATCTTTACTTCATTATTTCTTTGCCCATTTTTCTATATATATGGTCTGTAACTGTTATAAACCAACCATACCCTACAATTATCCACTGTACAATTGTCTAAGAGTTAAAGAAAAAAAAAAAAAAATGTCTAGGCTCTAATAGCTGTTCAGCCAAGAAATAAATCTCTCCATGCCAAATCCCTGTAAGGTCCTAGGATGTAATCAAGATCATTATGGCCTCCTTCATGTTTAAATAGGTAGAAGAAATGCCTTCTTAAAGACGGCTATAAGCAAATGTCCCTTATTCTGATTCTCAAACTGTTTTCCTTAAAAACATATTTCAAAAGAATGATACATGTTTATTGCATTGATAATGACAAAGGAGAAAATAAATCACCAGCTGTTCAACCACCCAGAGTTAGGAACAATTATCAGTGTAATGCATATGACCCTCCCCTACATGTATGCAGATACACATATGTGGACATTTCCCATGCAGCCATTCTTACAGTAATGGAACCATATAGTTCATGATGCTCTATCATTTGCTTTTTATCATTTCTATGTTAATACAGATATACACTGTTTTTTAGACCATTTCCAGTGTTTCTTCATTATAAAGGTTAGATGAACTTATGTTTATCTTCTCTAATGATCTCTTTAGGACAGAATTACATGGAGGCTATATAAAAATGTTAGTGTTTTAAGGCTTTTGATTTACTGCCACCCTGCCATAAGAATTTAAATTTCCCCCAGTAGTGTTTATGTGCCTATTTCTCCACATATATGAGCAGTATTATTTTTTAAACCATTGTCAATCTCATAAGATAAAACTCAACATTTTAGAAAGCAATGGGATGGTATATATAAAACC